AATGTTGCTCTTGCCAATTTTCCGACATGAATTATTCATACGAGTATTTTTTAAAGTTTAATTTCGATTTTCTTAATTAAAGAGTACGCTCATAACATCTGTTTTAACAACTCTTGCGCCAAATTTACATATGTTTGAGCTTAACAGAAACTCATTAACATGATGCCGCGGTTAAAGTAGTTAAATTGAATACGCACTTTTTGTTAAGATATGTCTGTGTTGTGCAACAACTATAAATCTAAATTCTGTTGTTTATTGTACAGGGTTTACACAGTACCTCATTTCTTTGTCTCTAATTAAGTTTTTATCTCTTCCAAACTTGTACTTCTAACCCCCCCCCACACACACCCCCACACATACACNCACCACCCACACACCACACATACACACCTACACCCCCCCACACACCACACACACACACACCAATTATCTACATGTATCATCATCTACATTGCATCAGGATGTAAGTACGAGTTAAACACTGATATGATATCAGCTGTCTACTTAATCACATCAGGAAGCTAGACAAATAGTGATCTACTCATATCAATCATATAAATAACTGTTACGTAAAACAATACAAAAGTGCGCAAGCCTAAAAAGCAGATATATGTACTTTTATGTTTTGTACACCATTTAGTAAGTTTTGAATAAAAAAAGTCTGACTGACTCTTTAACTTAACCTGTACAGGTAAGAACAACAATACACGATCTGGTAATAATTCCAGATAAAATCTGTTTTAATAGAACTCATCAAACGTACAAATGTATAATAAATACATATCAAAACTGTATAAAATCTCAACACGAACTGTTCAATATCTCTATGAATTAATATTATTCGAATAATATCCAGTAATAAGAAAAAATGGTATCAATTAATACAGCGCAAGCAAGAGTTTGCCTCCTACTTCACATTCTAACTTCAATTACTACTGTTTTTTTTTTTATTTTGTATTGATTAAAAGGGTTTTAATGATCATTAGATGTAATCAAATATTCATCTGAGAGACAAGTGCAAAAACCATCATCCTAGAGTTCCCGACATCATTTTCATGTGTTCATCATCCTAGTCTCCCACATAGAATTCCGTTGTACTTTTTTTTTCAATCTTTACCGATACATCATGTAAAATATCATATGAGTAAACATATATCATGTAAACATATCCTCTCACAGGAGTCACATCTTTTGATTTTTTTCCTTACTTGGGATGAGTTCTGGAGTTAAGTATCTGAGAAGTGTTTTTTTTTTTACCAAACATTACTTAATGTATACATTTACATCACACCACAAAGACATAAACTATTACAAGGCTAATTATATATCTCCATATATATATTCTGACTTAATAATAATTTCTATATGCATTGCTATTTAAGTGAACTTCAATTGAACTAAATATACAAATTGTATAGATATATATTGTATATAAGTCAGCTATTTTTTTTGATATCAGGATATGAAATGTGTATAAACATGTATACATAGTATACAAGTAAATCCATTTAAAATAAAATTGTATATTATAAGTAGGTGTTGTTATTAACACTCCTTCACTCTTTATATATGTTTTCAATTGTATTTCATGCATAAACATATATGGATATATATAGAGTCCTATAATCTATAAAAAAAAAATCTGCTATACAAATGGAGGGGGAAGCTTTACTACATAAGAAAGTAAGAAATCTTATTACATTTTTATGTCATATGGATATGTCATATATCTTCCCATATTTGATTTTGTTTTATTTGTTTACATGTATTTATGTGAACAACTTTTCTTTTTCGATTGTATATCTTTGTGCAATAAATTCTTTTAACAAGTTGAAGTTAACTCTGTCTTGTCTTTTTGATGCACAAAAAATAATGTATTTTGTAAGTAAAATAAGGAAGTTGAGTGATTGTGATGTGATAATGTTAGTTGTATGTCCAAACAATATCATTTTCAAATCAAAAACTACTGTTTTATTTGTTTTTTTGTTTTATCCATTCTTCTAGTTTGGTCCAAATGACCTGAGCTTCATTACATTCCCAAAACATATGTTCTAAATCTTCTACATTATTTTTCCATAGGTTACACTTGTCATTATCTGGTATGCCAATCTTTTTCAAATATTCATTTACTGGTAGAATTTAATTTTGAATTTTATACTGGAACCATTGTAGTTTTGTATCTTTGGTAGTCTTAAAGGGTAGTAAATAAATTGTATTCCAGTTCAAATATTGGAAAATAGGATTTGTGTTTTTGTGGTTTTGCTTTGTAGGTGTATAATACAAATCTCCACTGCCTTTTTTACTTTTAAATAGAATATGAGTGTGAAAAGGTTAATAAGGTCTTACAATAGTATTGTTTTTCAGATATACCTTACATTTTTTAATCACAGATTTAATGGATGCACACAGACTATGTTAACTTAAGAAATTATTCGATGTTACAGAAAACTTGTCTTTGAATTCTTTAAAATTTAGAAATGTTCCATCTCCTTTCATCATGTCCACTACTGTATTCACACCTTTGGTATGCCAGTCTACAAAATAAATGTATTGATTTCCTATCTTAAAGTTAAAATTGTACCATAATGGGGAGGTAAGAAGGTCAGTTTTGGTTCTTATTTTATTTAGTTTTGACACTTTTATCCATATATTTAAGACTTCTTTCCAAAATAAATTTGTTATATTTAAGTTTTCAAAGAAAACTTCACCAAATTTTGAAAGACACTGTATGGGACATATTTCATGTTCAAAAATATTTTTTCATTCCCTATCACTAGATGTCAATAGTCTTCGTACCCAAGTAGATTTTAAACTATCAATAAAGTTTCCTATATCTATCATTTTTAAACCTCCTTTGTTATATTGTTTAATTAGAGTGTTCCTTTTCATTTTATCAATAGGTCCTTGCCATATAAATTTAAAAAAAGTAGAATTCAATGTTTTACTAAAAGCTCTGTCTGGATTCGGTATAGTCATAAAGAGATGAATCAATTTTGAAAGCATTAATGTTTTCAAAACAGTTATTCTACCTATTGGTGTAAGTATTCTTTTAGACCATTGTAGTAATGATTTATCTAAATTTTGTATAGCTTTATTATAGTAAATGTTAATAATTTCATCTAAGTTGACATAGTTATCTATTCCAAGAAAGTTAAATTTTGTAATCCCCAATTTTAATTTCCATCTATAGTGGTAGACGTCTTGACTGATTTAATTACTTCCTATCCATATCAATTGTGTTTTGTCACTATTCACTTTAAGACCTGATATTTGAGCAAATAATTCTAACATTTTGAGTGCCTCATTAAAAGATTTCCTAGAACCGTATACAAAACTGCAAACTGTGAGAGCTTGTGTTCTGTTTTCCCTACTTTGATACCCTTAATTTTTGCATTGTTTTTAACCATAATTGCCAATATTCCTGCCACAAGTATAATAAGATATGGTGAGACAGTGTCGCCCTGACGACAGCCGCGTTCTATAGTGAAAAATTCTGATAACCTACCATTTTGTATAACAGCTGATGAAGTGTCTTTATATAGTGCATTGATCCAATGTCTGATACTCGGTCCAAAATTAAAATAATGATTACTTTGTCTAGAAACTTCCATGATACCCAGTCGAAGGCCTTTTCAAAATCTCTTAAAACCAATAATACAGGAATGTCATTATTTTCTGTATAATTCATTATGTCATATATTAATCTAGTATTCTCTCCAATAAATCTACCCTTTAAAAAACCTGTTTGTGTATCTGAAATTATAAAATCTAAAATTGTTTTCATTCTGTTGGCTATGCATGCTGAGGCTAATTTGTAAATTGTATTTAATAATGTAATAGGCTTCCAGTTTTTTAAAAATTGTCTTGGTTTTCTTCTATCATCATATCTACTATTTGAGTTCGTTCCAAGGTTGATATTTACATTTTAAAACTTGTGAATGTCTGCAAACCTAACATCTTCATGTGGTTTTGTATACTATGGAAGTGAATATTCACAGAGTAAACGATGAGTCAGAATAAGGTAAATATTATCCGGATCTTAGAGCATATTGTAAAACATATCCGGTGTTACTTTATCAAAAAATAATAATATTATATTATCAAAGACAAATTTGATTTACTGCTGAACCTCACATACATGTGGATCTCTTAAATATTCACTGGTTGATTAAGATATATCTCATAATGCATTGTACATTTAACTTCAACTCCCAGCTGCACATGTTACAGTTGTTTCGTCAAAAGTTTGAACAATAATTACATCGATCTAAAATTTAAGCAGTATCAAACTTCACCTGTTATAATGTTGTAAGTATAAGGCCAGATGTCTACACATTTTACAATTCGCCAATGTTCATGAAATCGCACAGCTCCGCGGTTTATGTGTCATACCGTCACCAAGTTCAAGTTCAAGCTCTTTAGTACTTTGAGTCTTTCGACTCATCAGTTACATGCAACAAAAGTGCAACATTTACAGTACAAAATACAAAATAACATTGCACAACATTACACACACTCACAACACATAACATCTGTAAATGATATCACTTCTGGTGAAAAAACCGATGGTGAAATCAGGTAAGTGTATAACGTACCATTGTCCTACGTATAACAGGGAAAGCCTCTCGTAGACTGTATAAAACCGTGACTGCTGACCTTGATGGTCAAACAGTTAGGAAGCCTCTATACAGGAAGTTCTGAAGAGGCGTAGAGCTGGAAACACAACACATGACCTGTTGGTATGTTACTACCGCCAAGTAATCAAACGACAGCAAACACAAAGGCGTGATACCTCCAATCGCTCATTGTAACTATCGGCGCTTCATCAGGTGTTCTATATTATACGTATTGTCCATATAATTATAGATTAGATACTGTACAATCACCCGCTTGTTTGTATATATCTGTTAATAGCTATTTTGTTTTGTGACGTGTGGAAATTCCAGGTTTTCATATATAAGACGGTTTTCGCTACAAGTCATAACCACTAGATTCATAGTCATGTAGGTGTCAGGTAAGTAAAAAATCACGTTCTTTGAAAAAAATGAGTTATAAGATAATCTACATGCAAGATATTTAAGCATTGAACTGTTTTTGTATGGTATTTATGATCTATTTGAATGACACAGCTTTGCAAGCAAACAACATAATGCGCGCTAGATCATAAATACCATACAAAACCAGTTCAATACTTATATTTACGTTTTCTCTGCCTCTTATGTTCTTTTTTAACTTCTAATTTATAATTAAAATTAAAAATGCCCGCCTTATCGACAGTCCACACAATTTCGTTCAATAGTTTGAACAGCGTATTGTCGCGTGCTGATTGGCAAACAAAGTAGTACTTTGACATTTTACCAAACAATTTATTCCACAATTAAGTATCAATACAATGGCGTATGATTCACTAGAAATCTGAGCTGAAAGTTAGATTTGAAATTGTTTCGATTTTCCCCCGGAACAAATTTCGCGCATGGATAAATAAAGTGAACACCGTGAATGGGACCTTGACCTCCACGAGGGAGTTATTTTTGGAGGTTAATTTGAACTTTTCTCTTTGCTCATTTTGTGAAGAATCCAGGCGTGAATGAATTTTGTTGATTGTATGGGAACCCGACAACAGTCGGTAGATTCTATAACAGCATCGTTATTTGACATGTCGTCTGAAACTGAGGAACCGTGTATCCGAGACGCGTGAAACTGATAGCGTTTGAAGTGAGTGATCTTGCGACGGAGCACAGGTTCGTTACAAATGTCTGAAATGACGAATGTTTATGTGTGCTGTGACTCATATCAGTAGGTCTGTAACATATGTGTCAGTAGGTCTATAGAATATGTGTATTTCAGACATTTATAACGAACCCCTGTTGATCAATGCAGTGTAACAGACGATATTTCTGATAAATTGCATGAGCGTTAAAATTGTTTCCATTGCCGGCATTGGTGATTTCAACCGATGTGCATTTTGTACGATATTGCAGACCTTGGTCTTGTTTTCGTTGTAATAAAAGTGTTTTTTATTTTATTTTTTATTTTGCACATAAATTTACAATGACATTATCAAATCTCACAATGCCCAGCGATATTTCAGCAGCCGTCATGTTAATTTACATTGGATATTGTAGTTCCGGTCAGTGTTGTAATTAATACGCTAAGAATTGTGTCTCGTGCGGCATGGTAATTATGTCTCGTGCGGCATGGTAATTAAAGTCCCATCAACGACAGAGCTAGAACAGTGTAACGATCATTTTATATTTATCTTGTACTACAACTGTGTTTGATAGTGATTTTATATTTATCTTGTACTACAGCTGTGTTTTTATATTTATCATTTTCATCTCCACCTTCTGTTTACCTCCATCCACAATCAACACTTCATACACACCAATTACCGCTGTTATTACTACTTATTTGGTCTCAAGATGAAGACAGGCTTTTTGTGGTACCCTCTCTGAAAACAATCATGTATTTTGAATCACATATCCAATATATTAAATCACATCTATTATACATTGTACTGATATATATGATACATTGTACTGATATGTGTTATACCATGTATTGATATATGCTATACATTGTACTGATATTTATTATACATTGTATTGATATATGTTATACATTGTACCGATATATGTTATACATTGTACCGATATATGTTATACATTGTACTGATATATGTTATACATTGTACTGATATATGTTATACATTGTACCGATATATGTTATACATTGTACTGATATATGTTATACATTGTACTGATATATGTTATACATTGTACTGATATATGTTATACATTGTACAGATATATGTTATGCATTGTACTGATATATGTTATACATTGAACTGATATCTGTTATACATTGTACTGATATATGTTATACATTGTACTGATATAATTTTTTATGTTATACATTGTACTGATATATGTTATACATTGTACTGATATATGTTATACATTGTACCGATATATGTTATACATTGTACCGAATTATCTTATACATCGTATTGATATATGTTATACATTGTACCGATATATATCATACATTGTACCGATATATGTTATATAGTTAAAGTATGGTTATGAGGTATATAACACGTTTCTGGCCAAGGGGAATCAGAAACCTGCTATATCCCTAAATAATCATACTTTAACTGTCTTATTATATCGATACAAAAGCATCAATCTGACAATATACAATAAAATCATGATGAACAGTAAAATGAAATTTTTATATTTAACAGCATCAAAATAAACAAATTGCAGACTACAGTACAACAATATCACTTGGCAAGATTGGGGTTAATTTCAACATCTAAATTTGGAGCCCGCCTTCCTCGACGCTTATTGGTCGATAACTCGACCAACCCACGCCCATCCTCTGAACTAACTCACTTGGTCTAAGATCTCCCAACTAACGCACCCTTTTTGTGAGCTAATTCCCTAATGTGGGGATTTCAAGGAGATAGCCAACTCTATGATATTAATTTCATATAGTGTGAAATAAGCAGAGGTATGATAAGGCATTATATATCATATCATAATAGATAGGCAGTAATTTACTCAATGAATGCTTATTTATCACAAAAGATATATCAAGATTGTTTATTTATTTTATAACTTTTAGAAAACAACGCCATCGAAGCAAAAAATTGAAATTCATCGGAGAACTCGCAATGTTCATCCCAAACGATTAAAACAATTCAATTTGCTAACAAAGGTGACAATAACAGACAATATGTCGTCTAACCTAGCCACGGTAACGTCTATCATCACATGTAGCAGTGCCTCAGTTTCAATTCTTTGTGGGCTGGCCATTCTGTGGTCATACCGACAGGTTCCTCACATACAGAACTACACCCGATACCTCCTGGTCTGTCTCACGATAGCCGACATCTTCACTGCATACGGCAATTTGATCAGTACATTTAGATGGTTTATCATTGGAAACAGTAAAGAAACGAACGATGCCTACTGTGTTGCCCAAAGTTTTATAACAACGACTTCAACGCTAAGTTCATTCTTCTGGACGACATCCATAGCCATATACCTTTTTAGTGCGGTCGCACTCCGAGTGAACATTGCTGAGAAACGTACCGCTAAAATCGCCATGACTGTTATTCCAATTGTAATTCCAGGTAAGTCCATGGTAATATTTGTGTGACATTAGTATCTGTGCCAATGTGTTTACCTATTATAATTTTGCTGAATTAATTGCAAAAAATCTATTTATTGATCACATCAGGTTACTTTAATTTAAAGATGGCCGATTCAAACTAAATATTTAAGGTATCAATGAAAACTGTAATCCTTTATATTTTTGATCAATTTAATACCAAAGAAATTTTAAGTATACATCCGGAAATAACGTAATAAACAATATGACGTCATTGAAACATATTTGTGATAATAAGAAATGCTTCATATCACTGTATTGTATTATTCACTGAAAAGGAACTTCGATTGTCACAATCCAAACCTCTCAACCACTCTTTGAATAATCGATTAGAAATATGGAATATAATTGAAATAATGCCTGCAAATGTTTAAGCAGGCGATTCTTCTATAAGCCAAAGACTTCGTTATGATAATTAACCATAAAGTCGGTAGGGCCCTGTTGTCAAAGCTCTTTTATTCATAGATGTCTATGTTACATAATGCACTTTTGTAATGCAACACCTCATTGCTTCCCTGTAGTGGCAATTACATGCGTGGCTTTGGGCAACGATGTCTTAGGCGAAGACAAATACTCCGGGAGTGGACCTTGGTGCTGGATCAAAGGTGACGTCAGCAATAAACTCATGTGGAAGCTAGTGACGGGCAAGGCTTGGGAGATGATGACGTACATGATTACACTTGTGATATACATCCTGCTAAAATTCTTCAAATGTAGAAAGGTAATACCAAAGGATCACCGAACGGGAATATATAAGTATTCAGCCACTTATGAAATGTGTTATGCCTCCAGTTCTCTATTGCCTTAAAGAACTGAACGTTAGGAATTATCAATATTCAGATACAACATATAATACTTATGAAATGCTTTATGCCTTAAATTCTCTATTATTTAAAAGACTTGGAACACTATTGACACCCAGTACAATTTCCACCAAAACACAGATGAATGAAAATAACTCGTTAAATTCATTTAATTTGACATGTTGTTTAATCTTGAAGTATTCCTGCTGTTTTGTATGCTGTGTAAATATTCTGATCCTATATTAACCTTGATCTATCAGAACTGTCAACGTCACGGAAGGTTTAGATGGAGCGATTCAGATACAAATATCCGAGATGCAGACGACACTTTTGAGATATCGTGGTTGTTTCTACTCATCGCACGGATTTGGGGGACTCTCAGATTTATCTTGCAGGTATGACATATTTGTGTGTATGGCAATGTAGGCCAGTTTACTGGTTGGAAATAGTAATGGGCACGTCTATGAGATTCAGTAAATAGCTCAGCGTTAGACATATGAATAGTATGGAATATTACTTTTGGCACAGGTACAGTTGTAATTCAAATTATTGTTATATAGCAAAGCGTAAAAGTTAGAAACACCAAGATTTGAAATCATTGCCAATTACAATCTGCTGCATCACCCGCTACATCTCCATCTTAACTTTCAGTAATGAGTAACAGGAACGGCTAACACCTAAGCTGTTCGATACACATATTGCATCCTATTTCCCGATCTTGATAGAAGCATCTCTGATTGCACACATACGATATTGACATGTAGCAATTGATTCGATATTCAAGGACATGCTTCAAAGCTAAACAAAATGGGCAAATCCAGACGTAAAAACGTATAACAAAACGTTTCGAAACTGCAGGTTGATAAAGCTTTTGTCGACAACCTGATCTCTGTGGGAAGTATAATGCGGTATGAAGTATAATGCGGTAAGAAGTATAATGCGGTATGAAGTATAATGCGGTATGAAGTATACTGCGGTATGAAGTATAATACGGTATGAAGTATAATGCGGTAAGAAGTATAATGCGGTATGAAGTATAATGCGGCATGAAGTATAATGCGGTATGAAGTATAATGCGGTATGAAGTATAATGCGGTATGAAGTATAATGCGGTAAGAAGTATAATGCGGTATGAAGTATAGTGCGGCGGTAAGAAGTATAATGCGGTATGAAGTATAATGCGGCGGTAAGAAGTATATTGCGTATGAAGTATAATGCGGCGGTAAGAAGTATAATGCGTATGAAGTATAATGCGGTATGAAGTCGGGTGTTTTTGGTTTTGCTCATTGATGTGTCTTTCGGTTCACTGTAACTACACTGATTCTCACTTTGAGAACCACGAAAATGCGTTTAGACAGGCTACCCTTTTGGAAATATCAACTTTTCCTCGAATCAGTCAGAGAGCATAAAAGAATAATAGCATCTTTCTAACTTGTACGGTAAATATATGGAAAAAGGGTTTAATATCATCACGTCGCCTTTTCCGCACTGCGGCATCATTTTTTTCTTCTCAATTCGTTACCTCAGGTCAAGTGAAATGGAGTATAACATAGACATTTATTAAACCCCTGGGCATCTCTATCTTACACAGAACTGAGAGAATAAGGCCATACGTTCCGAAAGGATTAAACGTAGGATTTAGACATATGAGTGTTAATGGGACCATGAATTACTAAATAGACCAGATGATCAATTGACACGTGACTCATTTTACATGCGAGACATAGTATTAGAACAGTCAGCTGGTCAGTAGCTAGTTCAAATGTTTGCTGGTAAAATACACAAATGATGTGTACAAGGCAACACGTTTTCAATAATTTATTAATTTGATGTTATTTGAGGTACATTTTAAAACAAAACCAATAAAACATAAAGGAAATAAGGTATATGAAACAAATTAAAAATCCGAGATTATTACTTATATTTACCTTGTCACTATAGCGATATTTCGAGGATAATGTACGTGTCCTTGTGTCCCAGTTAGATATACGTAAACATTTATAACATTGCTGTCATTGTACTACATATATAAACATATACATTTAAACAATTCTTAACATTCTATGATATGTATCAAATGCGTTTCGTTTTGCAGTCCTTTGATGTTCACTTAGAAGAATCTGTAAATAACGGGTTGCTCTATATGCAGTGTTTTGGCGACAGCTCCCAGGCTTTCTGGAACTTCATGTTCTTCTTCACTCTTGATGCAGAATTACGGGAGCATGTCTGTCAGTAGATATGTTGTCTATCAAGGCATAGAAGAACTAGTACAGTGACAGATTTACATGGCGATGCACAACAGACAGGCTTTTAATTGGAGTATATTTATAGCTTTCTAATTGTTTGAATAGCCGGTGTGATTAGCACTTTGATTAACTGACTATGATGAGTTGTTATGTTCTTTAATGTTTTTGTTTTTATGTTTGTTTTTGTTCTTGCAAATGATTTTTATAATTTTAGTGTCAGTTTGATATCTTTTAAGAAATGTGTCCTGTATCTGATCTTATTCGTAACGAAAGGTGATAACAGATGGAATCCTGAGGGGAACAAATGTTGGTACATCATGAATGAAAGGTAGTATATATGTAAAGAAATAATAAGATACTAACAACCGACTAAACATCTATCAGCTGCTCTTCGGGTTTATTTCAAATGATTGTTCCTTTCGTCATAATCACATATCATCACGCTACAATAGTAACGTGACGTCACAGTATACACAAGATTGGTGGACAAAACGGCGCACAATTTTACTGTGGCCGGTTGAGGCTAGGTGTTAATACTTTGATGGATTGGTCTTAAAGCTCAATGTTATCCTACTGAGGCTATAGAACACTGCATACGGAAGGCCACTGGAAAGGGACCCTTTACATCCCGTCCACAAACATAAAAGGATGAATTAAAGTCAATTCCACTGGTTCTAATTTCGATTCATGGAATTTCAATATATTTCCTACGATAAAGAACAAATATGAATAGTAAAAGCAAAGTACTGTAGCAGATGTATGAGAAAAATGTTTGATAAGCATGCTATTTTACCTAGATGACGCCAACCTAAGAACTTGACACGTATATTGACAGGCTCCAATCTCGATATTTCTTATATAAATAAACTTGAAGAGCCCTGTCAAGATTGAACGCTGCTAGTTGTGTGGTCAGATCTTATTATTTTCTATACCAGTGCAAAGGTCAATGTCAGTGATGTCCATGCTAATAGGTTAATAAGATAATAAAAGAAGTTATATAACAAACAAATTCAAAAGAAGGAGGCGAATGCATACTTTAATAAAGTTAATGTTACAATTTGATTTAACTTTCTGTTACGTTTTACAAATACATTTCGCCAACATTGGAAAAGTAAACAGAAACTATGTGCCAAATCGTCGATACACACGGCTCAACTCTGAACTCTTAGTCGATACACACGGCTCAACTCTGAACTCTAAGTCGATACTGAAGCATCATCAATACCCGGTTACAAGATTCGAACCCTAAGTGAACAACCAATAACTGAGGAGACACTGAAACGCAACGAAATCATCAACGGCGTTTAAGAACTTATAGGTTTATAATGAAATTAATATTTGAAACTAATGCAACTTTATCATCCCAATGTGAACGACATTGTTCAGTCAGCCTTGAGGGGTATCTAATAACTTGATAATGTGTCTTTTCGAACAATTGACTTTATATGGACTCAATTTATACAATATCGTTCCAGCAAAATGAGAGAAAATGCTGATAGCTTATTCAAAATCGCACCAACAAAATATAATTTAGGCGGTCACCTATGGCGTGTCAAACGTTTCAATATTTACAATTATTGAATACAAATATAAAATATTGCACATATATTTACAATTATCGAATACAAATATAAATTATTGCACATATATTTACAATTATTGAATACAAATATAAAATTTCGAACAAAAGTATAAAATTATTGAATATTGTTTGACACGCCATAGTCACCGTTTAGGGGATACTTTATGGTGTGTGACGGATATAAAACAACATTAACAATCTGTATACTTCGTCGTTCAGAGAAAATCAGAAACCTGGGTGATGTTTACCATGCTAATGTTTGCTTTGTTTCTTCATGTAAGCAGATACATATGTATATATAGGTATTGCTCTGTAACAGGTACATTTATTGACATTTTTTTTATTGTGAAGAATGTGAAAATAAGTTGAGTGGAAATAATATGTTGAAAGAAAAATATGTACATGGTTACCAAATGGAAGAATCTAAATAACTATTTCAGTATCAATACTCATCATGCAATTGTAAACAGTGCGCTGAACTCCAGACCAAAAAGGAGCTATGCTTGCACGACCAAGGAATAAACTGTTAAATGATATGATGTCAGTTTCGAAAAGAAATTGTTTTTCTTTCATATTTTGGAAAATTGTGTACATTGATTGACGGATTAGAAAACGTGCATATCTTACTGTTTAAGGAGTCTCCGGCGTATGTACTCTGTATATGATACCATATAGCCCAACTTTATAATGAACGGTTAAGGACCAGACCCACCGTACTAAATACTGTGATATTTATGAAAGTACGTTGGTACTTCCGTTTGGGAGACATATTTGAAATGCATATACAATTTTGTAAAAGATTCGGATGCTATTATTCCAATGTCTATGATAATAAAATTTATGCAAATCAATAAAAAAATAAAATAACATTTAGTTTTAAATAAACAATACTGTTAATTTGTTTCCCAAAGCGGCCTGAAAACCTTGCCTATAGCTTACTGTGATGAAAGGATATCAAGTATGCTAAATATATATGTACAAGTAGTTTTTCTTCTTTAGTTTCATATAGCGGCAAGCAAAATACAATATATAGAGTCACCACACTCGTTTAATTGACTTACTCGGACATATTAACAAATCACAAGGGGCCATATATATATAAACTACGAACGATTTCTTCTAACAGGTCATCCATGTCAAGACGACGATATATGGCTTATCCCTTGTCCGGATGAAGGGCTATCTAGACTGTTAAAACCAAAGACCTTGATTCACTGTGATTGTCGCAGATATAAATTGACATCTGGACTGCAGTTTTCTTTAGCAGAAGGCTGTCAGTTCTACCGAATAAAAAATAGATTCTTCTTTAATGTCGCCGGGGTAAATGAAGATAAAACTAAAAACAGTTCTTCCTAAGGTTTCATATATCTAGACTAATGACATTTGGCTTGTAAGTTTCGGATAAAAGGATGATTGTCGAAATAAACGACCTTAACCCACTTTGTAGTTCAGGGTGTGTTAGAGGTGTGGATACTTAAAACGACTTCTTATCAAGGTCAAGCATGTGGTCCTTTGAAGGTTTCTAAGTTTCCTAGAATATTTCCAGTCAATCAGAGTAATTAAGTGTGGCTTTTAGCGTACTTGGATGTGCAATCAACAAATTATCAAGTGTATTATCCTGACAATAGAGAATCCAGTTGAGAATTAAGACGTCTTCTGCCCGGTGTTTAAACGCCAAGGTTGATATTGAAATCAAAGAACAGAACATCATGAACATGTCGCTCATGACATGAACACAAACGTTCGTGATATATATATATTGTTTAGTACGCACAAGAACACACATTAAAGTCAACTGATTAATTATAATCATCATACAATCTAATATAGAAAATATAACAAACGTTTTTATTGAATGCCAAATATATTTCCCGAGTATGGCAAAATGTCGCTGTTTTAGGAGTTCATCAAGACGCATGAAAACAATCTATCAAATAAGTGTATAATACACACAACTAGAAATCCATTAAATGCTCTATAATTTATTTTGGAAGTACAATAAAACATGTTAGGTGGTCAGGCATGCTAAGATTGACGCCAGATTTAAATGACGTCACGCTAAACATTTCAAATTGGCTATTCAACAAAAAATTCAACGAAAATCTGTAAAGGTCTGCTGACAAAAAATTGCAGTTAAGTAAATTCTTTAGCATATATAAGGTAGGCGTACCAAAACAATTACTTATTATATTGTCGCCTCATCTACAACAGAAATGAAAAGCTAAAATATCTAAACCTTGATCCAATGGAGATATTTTGTTTGCTTATCTTTCTCCCATCTACTTTCCTACAATAAAAAACTGTTGTAATACTGTATCAGATGCACCGCACCTTCCTTAGTAACCGCACAAAATTGATGACGCAATCCCGTAGGGAGGCCGGACACCCTAGGGTTAATATGAAGTAGGATTTGGAAATGGTCAAATTTTTGTCATGTTTTGCATTTTGTGAAAAAAATAAGCACATCATCACAAAAATGAACAATAACAAAACGTCAAGTGTAATTGAGGCGTTATTGTTTTCCAATGTGTTGGAGTTGTAAATGAAGCAGATGCGTACTTGGCAGAAATAGCGCATGCCAGGAGATGATTGATCGGTTCGGAATATGGCTTGTTTACAGCTGAGCAATAACACAAATACATTTCTTCCGTCTGAGCGATACAGACAGAATCTAGACTCGTCGGTGACCATCACACGCCTCCATCGACGCATCCCAAACCTATTCGGGCCATGTCTGCGCATCCAGTCAAGACGCACTTGCCGCCTCCGTGATGTCAGAGGTGGCCCGACGTAAGGTCGGCGCGCTATGATTCTCTCGGCACGCAAGCGGTTCCTGGCAGTTTGAGGACTAATGTGTCTGCCATGAGTACCTAAGGTATGCGACGCAGTCGTCTCTACAACATACTTGAATCTGTTGCGCAAGTGCGACAATCCAATCGCCCTGTCTTGTCGTGCGGTCGTAACACACGTTTCTTTTTTTTGTTCAGTATATATGCACATACATGTTACATATATTGTGCGTTTATGTTTTTGTTCCGGATATATGCACACACATGTTACATCTATTGTAATATAAACTACACCAGGAAGTTAATCACAAATACATGACATCAGGTATCTATTTTACTATGTCAGGAAGTTTGGTATTGGTAAGAACTATTCACGCATGTGAACTATGATAACCAATATAACGTTAGGTGATGGTGCCATTATTACAGTACACTGTACTACTGGGGACTTGTAATGCATCATATCAACACATTATCAATACATTTCCGAATAACAATAGGAAATCTGGTAATTGACCTAACTATTTTTTTATATCAATTAATTTTGTTAAATATATGATCTAAATAGATACTTTGTTTTAGATCACGAGTGACTAACAGATATTCCTGGTTTTGGTTGGAGACAAACTAACGGCAGCCGTTTGTGGTTTGGGACACTCTGGATCACTTAGTTGCGCCTTCATTTTTGTAATTCATTCTTTTGTGCCATGCAATTTCACTATATTATGCATACAATGTTGCT